TCTGTTAATTGTGTGGGGAAGGATTTGGGCCGGGAAAGGGAAAATCAAGGAAGAAACAAGGTGCCAAGCTTCAGATACCCCTCCAAGGCAGCAAGTCTGAGGGGTGGAGGGGGCATTCCTTTGAAGTCTAATGATGTGCTCTTAAAATCCATGCATATTTTGCATATTTGAACTATATTCCAGGGAAGGAAAGAGGGAATGATAGACATTCCTAAGGGAAGGTGCTAAGGGAGTTGGGACATTCAGAGAGGAGAGAGGTTTGGTGGGATTGGCTGGGAGCAGCAGTCAGGGCACTAGGCCAGGCAGGTTGGAGCCTAAGAGACCTCCAATCCCAAAGTAAGGGTGAAACCAATCCCAAGGTTCCCGTGTGGACCAGTGGGGAACCACAGTAGTTTCCTGGCCAAGGAATGGCCTGGAAGACCAATTCAGTGCTTTCCAGAATTTACTCTGTAAGCACAGACTCAGCGGGATAAGTGGAGGCAGAGAGGTCATTTGGAGACTCTTGGAAAGCCCCCAAGTGAGAGCATGAAGCTTGGATCTGGACAGGCCAGAGAGGAAGCATCTAAGAGACTGTTTGCAGGAGAAACAGCATTTCACACGGTGGGGTGGGGGTCAGGTGAAGGCAGGAATCAAATGGGCCTTCTGTGAGAGGGTGCCAACTTGGTTTTCCCATACCAAAGTTCGAGGTGGTGCCAAATTTAATCATGCCCCTCAGGCATTCTCTGCTCACTTGCTCCCTTCTGACTCCACACCTACCCTGTTCCGTCCCATTTCCCACAGGGTTGAGAAGTGCCACCAGGGGGTATCTCCTAGCAGACACCTGGTATCACCAAGGCCTGTGAGCTGAGCCCTGCAAGGGGTCTGGACAGTCCTTCAGGGCCAGGGCCCTGGGAGCTTGCTGGAGTCAGGTGGGCAGGAGGGTTCTGATAGGTTAGCTGAGCAGCCTCATTAAAGATTGAGGTGGGGAAGCCCACTTGATGGTTGGATGGCGTATCAGTTACCCACTGCGCCAGCCAGGCAACGGAGGAGAAGAGGTAAGTGGCCCAGTGCGAGACGTACCCCCGGCCTGTGCCGCAGAGCCCTGCCCGTGATGGTCAGCAGGGAGTGGGCCTTCCACTGCTTTTGCTTCTGCCACTGGGACTGCACCGTGCTTTGCAGAGTGAGCTGTAGGTGATGGGAGCCCCTCTCTCTCCTCCCTGCTCCTCATGGGCCTCTCCTTTTACTCCCACCTGCTCCAGGGATGGGGGTGGGAGTGCTGGATCTTGGGGCGAGTATTTGTCACTGAGCAACTACAGGGTTTGCAAAGACATCCTTGCGGAAGCGGCAGGGTGGAAGCAGCGACTGGGCACTGGGAGACCCGAGCTTCTGTTCTAGCAGCACCGTTCACTGGAGGTGCGTGACCTTGGGCAGCTTCTCCAAGCCTCAGTTTCCCACCTATAAAACAGGGTTAAAGACCCAGCCATGGATGATTGGGCAGATTAGTCACAAAAAAACAATGCAGTGATGCTCCATAAACCATTAAGGCGTGTCAGATTTTTGTTACAATTTGTTCTTTTTGAGATTCATTTTAAGGTTAGTTTTGCATCCTGAAATAAGAATATTAGGAAGAAAGAAAAAATATTCTACAGGAAAATAACCCGCCTAAGGAGCACAGCCTAGTGGCCCAAGGAGTGGGGGTGGGGTGTCCTGGCCTGGAAGCCGGAGACTGGGTCTAGCCCTGCTTTCCCCATTGTGGATGTGAGCTTAGGCAAGCCCCTGCCCTTTCCCTGGGGCTCAGGACCCTTCTACACGGGGTGCTGCTCACCAGTACATGGGCAGCACCAGGCCCCCGGTGTCTTTTTTCAGAATTCGAACGCTTTTCCTCTCTGGCGTCTTGTTTTTGGTGCAAGACTGCAAGGGCTTTTGGTGCTTCCCAGTGTGGCCCTGGTCATTCCCCACTCTCTGAAGTGTTATCCCCACATCTGTAAGTAATGACCTTCCAGCTCGACAGGTCTTTCAAACCCTGAGTTCCTAGACACAGTTTTACCTATTGGTCACCATGAAGCTGAGCTGTTTCTGCTAAGCCCAAGGCCAGGGCTTAGGTATGAGGGTCTGTTGTAGGATTTTGTGGGTCAGTTGGCTCTGTTAATCTGAGTAAGATATGTCAGCCTGCTTGAGCCTAAATTCATGTGGTAAGGACTTGGCAGAAAAGACTAGAAAATTCACACAGGATTCCTTTACGCAAGCAACTAAGCTGTGTAAGCACGTCTTAGAATAGGGAGGGTGGCAGGCAGGTATTTGTCATCCCTGCATGGAGCCTAGAGGGTAGGGTTAAACACTAGCTTCCTTTGTTTTCCAAAGACAAATGTGGAGCTGTTTGTTTATTAACCAGGGCTGAGCCTCTGGGGTGGACAGAGCCCTGGGCTGGGAGATATTTGTCCTGGGCTTTGGTCCCAGCTCTGCCACCAATTCCTGTATGGCCTTGGCCAGGTGACTGTAAAAATAGTGGCCAGACCAGGGCTTAGCCCAGTTCACAGACTCCATTCTTGCTTGGACACTTGCTTCCTCACTCGGTGATAGGAATGGCACCTGTGAGGAAAGCAGGGCCTTGCAATAAGAGGGAAAGGTGTGCCAGGGATGGCGCAATCTCACGGTAAAATGGGGGGACCCTCTGGAAAGAGGGGAGGGAGCCAACCAGAAAGTTGGTAGAGCAGGGAGGAGGCCTTGGAAGGACTTGGGACTCTGCCCAGCTCAGACCAGGTGGCTGCCATTTGTTGGCCAGAAATTCCATCAAGCATCACGGAGCAAGTGCTGGATCCTTTGTCTCTACTGCTAGGATCTCAGGTTCTATCTTTTCAGGAGCCCCAGGGGATGCCTTTCCCATAGAGACTAACTGGAAACTGAGCCCATCCCTTCTATCCCAGACAAGCTGGGAGCTGGTGTCCCAGTGTCTCATAAATGTTCAGGGGTGGGCAAGAGGAAGCCCTTTTTCAGGAGGAGGGGTCAGCACTACCTCACCTTGTCTACCTGCTTTTGGCTGTATAAATAAAAATGCATTAGCTGGACAGGAGCCACACTGTTCCCTGCCTACCCCACGCCTGCCAGACCTTGAAGCAGGTGGATCACAAACCAGGGATTGTCTTCCGTAAGACTCTTAGACATTTGTTTATTTAGAGGTAGTGCATGATTTGGAAATTCAAAAAGAGGAATATAACCCCACAGTCCCGAGATAGCCACCATTAACATTTTAGTATATTTCCTCCTTCTTTGTCCTTTAGAGTTGTAGAAATTTGGAGGTGATGATCCTCGGTTCCACCCTTCTCACTTTATACTAAACGGAAGCCCAGAGAGGGGAGGGACTCCTGCACACCTAACTTACTGGCAGAGCTCCAGCAAAGTTCATTCTGAAGGGGATTCATACAAACCAGAACCACCCGGAAGAGCACAGCCAGGGCAGAAAGGAACTAGAAGACAAGATGGGGGCCAAGGGAGGCCTGGAGGGGGGCGTGCCAGGGCCGCCAGACCAGCACAGAGAGACAGCCTTTGTGGTCCTGACTACTGGGGGCAGTCCTGGCAAGAGAGATTTCACTCTTTGGAGAGAAGACTTTGCCAGTGAGAACCACCCCCACCACCTCCAGCTAGAGCCTCACACTCAAAATCAGACCTGGTGGCTCCCAAGGCTCACTACAGCCCTGAGAACCTCTCCATCTCCTGGGATACCACATGGATGGGCACTGAGGCAGCAAGGCCGTTGGGTGCTGAGAGGCTGCAGTGTGCCACATTCCTGTCCAAGAAGGGGCTCTGCCAGGGGGCTCCAAGCCATAGCTTCTCGCACGCATGCCAGGGCTGGGCTCCTCCTCTCCTTGCTCTGGTCCTTCTCTCCCTGCCTCTCTCCCTGGCTTGACCCTTCTTCCTCCATTTGTCCTATCCCCCTGCAGTCTTGGTGACTCTGTGGAGGGCTTTAAAGTCCTTTGTTTTTGGGTTGAAGCCTGGTTTAATTGTGGACTGTTCAGAGGCCACAAAGATGCTACTTCAGTTCCCCAACTCTCCAGCTTTCTTATGGGTAAAGTGGAGATCACAGCAGGATTCCTAGGATGAGTGAGGCTGAACGAGGTGGCGTCTGAGTCTCTGATACATGATCTAGTACATAGTGTGACAGACACTCAATAAATTTGCATTCTCTCCTTACCCCAACTCATTGGATTTTCTAAGTCCCACTGCCATTGGTGGCCTGTGGTATCTCACTCACTGATAGATCATGAGGCCCAGTGCTCGGCTCAGCTGCTGTTTCCAGCTCTGGGAGCTTGTGAGCCATTAGACTTCTGCTGTTTTCTCTAAGATTGTGTCACCTGCTCTAGTCTCACCCAGTGGCTGGAGATGCTCAGGCAGTATGCCCCAGGCCAGTCATCCATGTACTTAACAGACATGTACTGCATTAACTGTAGGTCAAAAACTGTGGTAAGTACTGGGAATACAGAGGTGAGCAAAACCGTTATGTCCCTGGAATTAAAGTCAAGTTGTTTTGTTGGCCATGTGCTTCCTCCTGCCTTTCCTGGTATGTGCAGGCATGCCTCATGGGTCCTGGTGACCTCAGGAGTTCACATTCGGAGTCCCATGAGCAGGTGCTCTCTTAAACCTGGGCCACGCCTGACCTGGATCAGTCCTGTGACCCGCCTGCGTCTCAGCACCTTGGCCAGGCTGTGAGGAAGTGGGAGGGGAGGAGTGTCACCTGCATCAGGCTCATTCTCCTTGAGGCCCACAATGTGGGCCTCAGATTTTTCCTCTCTTATGTGCTATCCTTACCCCTTTCCTCTTCACCAGGACGGCTTTCTTGAAGGTGGCAGTACCTTGCTTTGGAATCCTTTGTCAAAGCCTTATATCAGAGACAGATGCTATCAAAGCCTTTTGAAAAGTACAATACAAGGACCAGGTAAAAGCTCATCTCCTCCTTGGAGCAGCCTGTGAAGGACACATGGCAATCCTTCACATCCCTGCTTGCAAAATGGCAGCAAAGAGGAGTGACCTGCCAAATTCCTCCAGTGCATCCCAGGTAGAGATGCCACCAGACGGGAACCTGCTTCTTCCCAGTGCTCACTCTCCCCAGTGAGAAGGGATTCAGACCTCCTGGCCCCACTCCCCATCAGTCACACAGACTCTGCCCGGAGTCTGTCCAGCTCCTGTCCCCTATCACTGGCCCCCTCACCCCACCTCACCACCCCTCCCTTTCAGGAAGGCTCATGGCCGAGTGTGGCCCAGCCTTCCCTTCCTCTCTTGTGTGTCTCCCTACTTCATGGCTTCTAGGAGTAAAAGGGCTCCTCTGTGTCACCACGGTGTTTGAGAGGAGTGGGTGTTTGATGGAACTTAGACTCAAAGCTGTAAAGTGGGCCTCCAAGACAGCCGGAAGTCAGCTCCTTCCCAATAATCATCATGGTCCAGTGGGCCTTAGAGCAGACCAGCCTGGACTCGAGCCTCAGCCTGGTCTCGGCCTCTGTCCTCCTGCAGCTCTTTATGTTCAGAGAAGAGGTCAATCAGGGAACCTATGGCCTGGCCCACTACGAGGGGTGAATCCTGCCACCAAAGGCTGGACTCCCATGACACCAGGAGCGCCCAGCCACCCTGCTCTTGTTTGATGTTGGACCTGAAATTTCCTTTTCTCTTTATTTGTAGTGTGACGGGCTCTTTTTTTTTTCCTTTTTTATTTTTTTGATTTCTTCTCATGCTTGTTTCCTGTCTAATGCTCTTTATTTTGACTTGGCAAAATTTGTCGGAGAGGGTGAGAGTTTTCTTTGTTGGAGTCTCAGGGGAATGGGCCAGGCCCCTGCCTTGGCAAGATCAGCACCCAGACTCAACAAGCTTGGGACACTGGGGCCAGTGTCACAAACCCTGTGGCTTTGGGCAAGTCCCCTCACCCCTCAGAGCCACCACCGCTCATCCTGTGTGCTTCAGGGGCCGTGGTGGGACCAGCTGGGCAATGAGTGCACGCAGCCCATGGAGAGGAAGGCTCTCTGCCGAGGGGACTGCACCAGCAAGGCTGCAGGGGCAGAGGGCCACTTAAGCCAGCACACAGGCAGGTTCCTGTCTGACTCAGCAGAAAGATCAACAGTGTGCTTTCAACAGTAATGCAAACAAGTATTTCCAGCACTTTATGGCTTACCATATGCTTTTTCCTCCTGGAGTTTATTCCTCATAGCAGTTTGGTAAGGTACCACTATTAGCATTAGTATATTAGGACTCTAGCATTAGTGTATTAGGACCACTTTATAGATGAGGGCACAGATAGCTTGCCTAGGGATGCATGGCTGGGTAGGCGTGGGGCAGAACCCAGGCCAGGTCCTCTTATATGCTCACTGCCTGCCCAGGTTAGTACCTCATGGGAACGAGACAATTAAGGTGTGATCTGCAGACCATCATTGCCATACATTTACTGTACAAAGGAGGGCACCTCATGGCCACAGAAAGTGACTCCACGCTCTGCCACTGTGTGCAGAGCCACAGGGTCCTCTAGCAGAAAGACGTCAGAAACTCACAGCCTTGTGACAATGGCTGGATCAGCAGCCCCGTGGCTTTAGTTTGTCCCCAAGGCCTCTGGTCCACAGAGGGTACCTGGTGTTGGCAGGGCTTCGTTCCACTGCTGCCTCCTTTCTGGACAAGCATGAACTTGGGGGACCACTGTATCTCTCTGTGGCTCACCTCCTAGGTTTTTATTTTCACTCGAGTCATTTCAGCATGACTCCTTCACCTGAACTTTTCCCCTTGGGTGGGTGAGATTGAACCTCCTCTCCCCTTCCCAACTCAAGTATCTGGTGTGAGCCAGGCTGTGAGCATGGAGTGCTGAGTGAGATGTGCTCTCTGCCCGTGAGAAGCCCAGGGTCTAATACAGAAGAGAAGGCAGCTCCCGAGTCACTGGAATATGGGTGAGAAAGATGTGAGTTTTTAAGAGAGGCACACAGGCACTGGTTGGTGAGGAGTATGAGGACCTGGGGAGGGCTTCATGGAAGAGGTGACCTCTGAGCCGGGCCTGAAAGCCTTGGTAGGTGGAGACGGCAGGAAAAGGTGACCCAGGTGGTTTGAGTAGTGCACAAAACACAGAGAGATGGGAAGCGTGGTGGGGCCAGGCCCAGTGTGCAGTTGCAGGAGGTCAGCTATGGAGGGCTGTCCAGGAGGTCCAGCCACAATGTGGGCTGGGGCCTGGCCTGAAAGCCTTGAATCTTATTTGATGGAGCCTGGGTCCAACCCTGTGCAGGTCATGTCTGTGTTTTTCAGACATCACTTGGGCTGCACTGCCAGAATACGAGAGAGTATAGGTGAGGGTCCAGGATAGAGATGCTGAGGCTGCCAGGTGGCAGCAGAGAAGCAGGGCATTCTGTGGGGCAACCGACACAGCACCAATAAGACTCAGTTACCTAATGAGCCGTGGGAGGTAGAGAGGGAAGAGCCGGAACCACCCCCATCCCTGTCGTCCTGGATCCTATGGGATCCAAGCTCAGCTCAGGCGGTTCCAAGGGGCTCACCTGTGGCACGGGACAGGTGCCACATCCTCCGCCTCAGCTTCTGCCTGCATCACACAGGGACGTCATCTGTAGTGCCTCACCACTAGACGCGAGGGAGTCTGATTACCAGCAGCCAGGAGCCTTCCTTAATTACTCCTGCTAAAGAAGCACCTGCCAAGGGGCTGCTGCTTGGAGCTTCCCAAGGGCCACCAGCAGTCTGCAGCAATGACCTTCCTCCCTATTCCTCCCTGAGACTGCCACGGGGAAGCTGTGCCCGGGGTGGAGGAAACCAGACGTAAGGAGGCGGTGGGAACCTCAGGTCTGTCACAGTTACTCTGGGTGACAGTGGACAGACCCCTGCTCCTTGCTGGGTCTTAGCTCCCACCCCTAAAACAAAGGGACTTGACTTTTTTAATGTTCAGGGCCCTCATAGCTCAAAACAATTGAACATTTTCTTAATTTAAGAATGGCAAGCCTTATGTAATCAGTGCAATCAAGTGTTATCCTTTCCTGCTCTGACATGTCTAAAACTCCAGCCAGTTTTTAATTAGGTCTTAAGTCAGGGGCCAGAGCCCCCTGGAAGGGCCAGGGCTCCTACTGGACTTCCCCACCCTCTCAAGGAACAGGTTAAGAGAGTGCTGGGAGGACATCAGCCCAGCAGGCAGAATGGGGAATCCAAAGCACACAACCACACAGACGTCTGTGGGCAGCTGGCTGCCATCTGGGGTGCTGACATGGGTGGAAAACAGTTGCAGTGAGCTAGGCAAGGCCAAGCCACAGACACAGAAGGATCCTGCGGCAGCTGGTGGAGCCCAAGCATGGAAAGGCCTCCATCCTAGGGCAGGGCCTTAGCCCCCAGAAGGACGAAATCCAGATCCAGGAGTGAACTCGGCGACTGAGACCAGGTCTTAGAACAAGGCAGATGTCCAGTCATCCAAGCCAGAGCCCAAGGCCTGTACCGAACTCATAACAGAGCAGCTCAGGCGCAAGTCCCGGACGTGGAGCCGAAATGCCAGGAATCCCTCCCGCCTCAGCCAGAATGACTGGCAGTCAGGGTATGAGGGGTGGGGGCGGGGAACACATGTCCACAGCACCTTGCACACCATCCAAGGGCGGCTTGCAGCTCTTCTGGCAGTAAATGAGTCTGCCACCTTGATCCTTCATTCTTCAAGCTGGTCTCAATCTGACACCACCATCTGAGTTGAAGAAACAAAGTGGCATTTGCAGGTGGTTTGCATCTGCCACTTGCTGTATGTAAGACCTTGGGCAAGTCATTTAGCTTTTCTGGACCTGGCTTCCCAGCTGTTACAGGTCCTTAGGGGAGCCTTCTTACAGGTTTGTGAGAATTTGAGTTAAATTGAAAATTAAATTCAATTAAGAAAAGTGCCTGGACATTGCTCTGGTAATGTTCACATATTCATTCATTCTGTTTCTTGAGAACAAGGAGGGAAGAACAACTAGGACCTTGGTCTTCTATGAAGTAGGAGGGAATATAGGTGTCCCCACATCATCAATGTGGTTGTAGCTCGAATGTTCCTGTCACCTCATCCTGGGGCAGAAACAGTGCCACTGCCCCATCTAGTCATTGCAACTCTCTGAAGTTCCCTAGTGACACCTGAGCTGGCAGAGAAGGAACAGTCAGCTCTTTCTCAGGTGAGGGCACTGAAGCTTAACTGTGGCACAGCGCAGGAAGCCCTGACACAGGCCCCAGCTCCAGCCTCCCCTGAACAGGAAGTCTGCACAGCAGACCTCAGCTGTGCCGGGGTCCCTCCTTCAGGGTCCAGGGCAGAGTGTGGCCAGAAAATTCCGCACCAGTCCAGAACAAGGGGAGCAATGGCAGGGCCTGGCTCCTTCCCACCCTTTGCAGACAGCAGGGGTCACCCCAGGGCTAGAAGCATGGGCCTCAGCTCAGACACACCCGGGTTTTAACCATGACATCCACCAGTGGTCAGTGTCAGTCCTTTGCTCAGAAAGTGGAATAAAGTAGATTTCTTAGGTTTGCCAATTCCCAGTTCCCTGGTGATTTTAGTTAGAACATCCTGGTGGGAGGTAAAGAGGCTGGAGTCACTGTTAAAGCATTGAGGGATGGTGGCCAGCGTGATGGTTGAAACAGCGAGAAGGTAGTTTGAGAGGGAAGGCAAGAAGGGCCTATAACTGAAAGGGATAATTTTTTTTTTTTTTTGAGGCGGAGTCTCACTCTGTCACCCAGGCTAGAGTACAGTGGCACGATCCCAGTTCACTGCAACCTCTGCCTCCTGGGTTCAAGCGATTTCTCAGCCTCCCAAGTAGATGGGACTACAGGCGTGTACCACCACGCCCAGCTAATTTTTGTATTTTTAGTAGAGACAGGGTTTCCATGTTGGCCAGGATGGTCTCGAGCTCTTGACCTCATGATCCACCCGACTCAGCCTCCCAGAGTGCTGGGATTACAGGTGTGACCCACCATGCCTAGGCTGAAAGGGACGATTTTTAACCATGTGAAATTTTGGGTCTTACTGGTTTAGAATGAAGAGCCATGAGAAAAAGAGAGAAGGGGTGGTTGAGAGAATGAGATGGGGTAGATAGTGCATAGGTGTGAGTGAGGCCAGCATTTAAAAGATTCTTAAGGATGTCTCTTCTGCAGCCAGGAGGAGGGGCAGAGATAGCACTCCAGGGGGGTTTGTCGGGGCCTTCCTTCTTCTAACCACTCCGTTTCTATGTTTCTCTGCCCACAGGCCCCTCCAGCCAGCGTCAGGTGCAGAATGGCCCCTCTCCTGATGAGATGGACATTCAGAGAAGGTAACCCAGCACCCCCAGGGGCCAGCGTGGCCATCTCCCAGTAGGGCTAGGTGGCCAGGGGTGCCTTCAGTGGATGAGGATGCACGAACACCCAGGGCCAGGACTCCCAGAGGCACACATTGGGGGAGGATGCAGGGTGCAGCCCAGACCAGAAAGAAAGAGAGGGCTGATGCACAGCCGCTGGTCCCAGGCAACAAAACCAGGAATGACTGTGGGAATCTGGCATTCTACAGAGAGCGCCACTAACCTCCAATGGGATGGCTCTCAGGGTGACTCAGTAGGGCCCGAGTGCTGCTCCCTTGTTGCCTCACTTCCCCATCCCCAGGGTAGGAGGAGACAGTCCAGACATGAGGGATTCAGCCTGGGGGGCAGTCCCTCCCATGGGTTGGGGCTAGGGGGCATAGGAATGAACCCTCCCACCCCAGGGAGCTTCTAAAGTGTTAGCACAGGGGGAAGAGGAAGGGCCAAGGCTGTTGTCCTGAAATTACAGAAGAGGTCATGGTGCGTCCCCATGAACAGCCTCCCAAGGTCACAGTGCCCTGAAATGGCAGAGCCAGGACTTGAAGCCAGGTCTGCCCTGTCAGTGATGGGTGCTCTGCCTCTTCTGTGTGAGGGAGGTTGAGCCTGGCCTGGGCCGTCCTCACTCAGCTCTGTCAGATAGAGAGTAAAGCCGCGGTTCTCTGTGGCTACACTCAAGTCCAGCCCTGGACTAGGAGTCAGGAAAGCCGGCTTCTGCCCCAACCTACACCTCTCACCAAATGCGTGGGACTTCCCCCAGCACCTCTCTTCTAGCCTTTTCCTAAGACTGACAAATGAATGCCTTGCAACCTTGGGCAAGTTCCTGCTCCAGGCCTCAGTTTCCCAAAGTGAAGATGGTATTGGCCTTGCTCTGCCTGTCTCACCCGCTCACCCTCAGGGCTTTTCGTACTGTTGCCCACATGAGTCAGCTGAAGCCCAAAGAATGGAAGTGACTTGCCAGAGTGACCAGTCAAGCAGAACCCAGGCTGGCAGGCAAGTCTCACTCTAGCTGCAGCTCCCTGCAGGACCCAAGGCTGGCCCCACTCACAAAAGGGCGTGAAGTAGTGAGCCCCACCAGATGCCAGGTGTAAGCGTACAGGAGTGGATGGCTGCTAAATGGGTCCTTCGGTTCTCCCGAAACTGCTTCAGCACCCGCAGTGCTGAATTCTGTACCCCAGGGCCCAAACCAAGCTGTGTGGGATCACTGGCCGTCTGGGAATGGGAACACCGCCTGGCAGTCAGGGTGTGAACTGCAGGGGGGACACACCCCTGCCCCAAGGCAGGAATGTAATCAGATTCCGGGGAGTGGGGAAAGCTCAGCTCCCCTGAGAGGAAGTTCTTCCCGGCTCTTGGTCTCTCTCTCACCCAAGAAGCGGAGGGAGGACCCCACCGGGTGCACTGCACCAGCAAGTAAATATCGGGCCCCAAAAGTTTTGGAGAAAGTGATTTATTTAGGCAGAGAAAGAGAAAAAGAGAGAAGATGATGAGAGAGAGAAGCTTTCACAAGATCGTGGAAGGGGATCCAGACATGGAGTCTGCCTGGATGTTGGGGACAGGGACTTTTAACCTGGGAGGAATTCCTGCCCCCTTCAGGTTTTCTGGGCCTATGAAAGGAGTTCCTTTAAACTTCTGCTGGAGTGATTGATTTTTGATTCTTTCTTGAGCACATGAAACTTAAAGACTTTTAAGACCCCAGATTGGGAGGGGGTATGGTGCTGGGAAGTTCTTGCCTTTGAAACTATGCCCCCTTGTGGACCCGGGAAGAGAATACATTCCCTCAGGAACACACACACGCACACGCACACGCACCCCTACCCCAAGGTGGAACCACACACACACACACACTCCCCTGACCCAAGGTGGAACCACACACACACACACAGACACCTGCACCCAAGACAAACAGACACACACACACACACACACACACCCCTGACCCAAGGCGGAACCACGCACACACACACACACCTGCCACACACACACCTGCCCCAAGGTGGGACCCCCATGCATACACACACCTGCCCCAAGGCGGGACCCCACACAACACACACACACACACACACACAGACACCTGCCCCCAAGACAAAACCACACACACACACACACACACACACACACCTCTGCCCCAGGGTGAGACCACACACACACACACACACACCTGCCCAAAGGCAGGACTACACACACACACAGATACACACATACCTGCTCCAAGATGAGACCACACACACACACACACACACACACACACCTTCCCCAAGGCAGGAACACACACACACACACACACTCTCACACACACACCCTGCCCCAGGACAGGACCATACACATACACGGGGTGAGTGGAGGGGCAAGGACTCTCATTTTTCCGACGCCATTTTACTAGAGGCGGGCAGGGGCAAGACTTACTCCATGAGGCAGAGACTCCAAGCATCCAAACAGTATCATAAGTTCAGACCTGATTTTTGAACATCTTTCACACACCCTCATTTTACCATGATTTTCTAGGTGTGTGGCTCCTGCTGGGGAGGTTGGCGTTTCAGCAGTTTGAGCGGCGACACTAATACAGATGCTGCCGGGAGCTTTTCAGACCTTAATGCTAAAAGGGGCTTGTCCATAATTTTTTAGTCACCAGGCATATACCCTGCAAGAACCCCATGAAATAGACGTTTCCAGTACTCCCTCCCACCAAGCCCAGAGCTGCCCTCAGAACATTCCTTAACCCTGTGTTTCAGTGGCAAGCATTCAGTTTGCATCATACCAGCTGAACTCTTGCTGCTGTCCGTGGTCTAGATGATTTCTTAAGATGCCTCCCACTCCAGAACTCGGTTCCTGGAGTCTGTAGATGTGTCTGGGGCTCAGTGTCCTCATTCAGCTTGCCTTTAAGAGCACCCTGAGGCCACCCTGTTATAAGGAACTGGAATGTGAGTTCTCGCTGTGGTGCACGTAGCAGTGTCCCCGGCATGCCAAATGACAGTGTGGTTCTCTCTAGACGGAGGCGGGTCTGTGGCTGGTCTGTAGTAAGGAAAATGTCGGTCTTCCTAAATAAATAAATAAATAAATAAATAAATAAAATTTGGGTGAGGTCTTCCTAAAAAAAAAAAAAAGGAAAATGTCGAGTGGTAGCCTTTGTGTCCATTTTTACTGACAACCAAAACATACCTGAGAATTGTCCCAGGAAGCTTGGCCAGGGACAAGTTTGGCACCCTGACCCACACCCCCAGTCAGCCCTGGGACCCGCAGTACCTGCCATGGTCCCCAAAGGCCAAGTGTCTGCCACTAAGGACAGGCATTCCTGAGGCTGGGTCTCTTGAAGCCACAGGCCCCCAAAAGCCAGGTGAGCCCACCCAACCAGGGAAGAGCTTGGTAACTCTAGGGAGTGAAATCACATTGGCCTTCCATGAGGAGCGCTGTGTTCATTTTTGGGGGCTGGAACCAGTCACATCCCCCTCCTCTGTTAGGAGGAGGCAGCCCAGGCACACAGTGGCACTTGTGGAGCACTGGCGTAACCTGACTGAAGCCAGGGCTGATGGGCACAGTGTAGGCACTGAGCATGTTGTTCTCTGGTGTGAAGTCACACTGCCCTACTGTGGTTGCTTTTCAGACAAGTGATGGAGCAGCACCAGCAGCAGCGTCAGGAATCTCTAGAAAGAAGAACCTCGGCCACAGGTGAGAGCCCTCCTCCTCCAGGGCCAACTCCCATGCTGGTGCCAGCGGCAGCACCTCCACACAGATAAGGCCAGGGGCACATGGGGCGCTCTGTGAGTAGCCAAGGGGAGCTTACATTTCCAAGTGTGACCACCACTTCAGATGTTGGAGGGGAGCAAGAGAGCAGAGGCTTGGGGGTCCGCTCAGCCGGGTCTGGCACCTGCCAACCAACCTTCTCTGGAGTGGATAATAAGCGAGCGCTTCCCGTGTCTCAGGCACTGTGCTAAGGGCTGGGGACACAGCCACAACGACAGCTGCGGTTCCTGCCCCGTCAGGGAGACAACAAACCACCCTTAGGTTATGTGAGGTGCAGGTGCCGAAGGCCCAGCCTGGATCAGGAAGACTTCCCATGGGAGGCCCTGCCATGCGTCCAGCTTGGACATTCCATGGAGCTTAGCACATTGAAGGAGAAGGACAAGGGTTTTCCAGAAATTGTGTTCACAGATAGGCAAAGGGCTTGATAATTTACCAAGTGCTTTCATGTCCTTTGTCTTGTTTAATTTTCTCAAACACTTTATGAAGTGAGCAGATGATTATTACACTGTTTACTGATGAGAAACCCGAGCTCCTGCTGGTTACAGGAGCACTCTGCCCATGAGATACTGACTGACGCTGTCACCCCACCGAGCTGTCACAGGCCTCCTGCCCCCAGCCACTCTTCATTTCTCATGCAGGTCTGACGCTGTTATCATGTCCCTTCCCCATCACTCTTGGAATGGCCCGTGCCCACCCTCTCTCCCTCTAGTGCCTCAAGCATTTCCCATCCTTCTCCTTCCTCATACTCGCTTCCCCCCTGCACCTAACTGAACCCCTGCTCTCTAGTCATGTGCCACCAGTCACTTCTGTAAGGAAGTCTTCCATGAACCTCTGGCCAGGCTGCAGCCCTTCTGCGTATGCCAACATGGCGCCGTGTGCCTGCCCTTGGTAGCACGTGTCAGCTTGCCACAGTCTGCCATCTGCATGCACCTGTGTGATGCTTTGCCTGTTCCTCACAGGCTGTGAGCACCATGAGCAGAGAGCTTGAGGCTGGTTCTCCTCAGCACCGCACTTAGCATTGTATCCTGACCCACACCCCCAGTCGGCCCTGGGACCCGCAGTACCTGCCATGGTCCCCAAAGGCCAAGTGTCTGTCACAGTTGGACCTTGGTGACCAGCTTCTGCCTAGGGGGTGCTAGGTGCTTAGAAGTAGTAGAGAAGAGAAAAAGCACAAACTGTGTAGCCAGAGAGCTTCCTCTCCCCCTGGAAAAACGTGATTGCAGCAAGAGGAAATTGCCTGGGCTCAAGAAATGTAAAGCAAATGCAGGACACTGTGAATTCAGCCAGGCCCCGGAGTGCCAAGGACACCAGAATAGGGAATAATTGTGCCAGGGCCAAGTTCATCCCGCTGGGGCTTCCTGGATGAAGCAGGCCCGGAGCTGTTCCTCATCCATCTGAGGAGCAGCCTGCCCTCTGTCCTTCCTCCGGGGAACCTGAGCTGAGAGCAGCAGACTTAGCCCCCAGCTGGGTGCTGGAGCTGGCTGAGCCTCACTGTTGCCTTTCAGGGCCCATCCTCCCACCGGGGCATCCCTCATCTGCAGCCAGTGCCCCCATCTCATGTAGTGGGCCTCCACCGCCACCCCCACCCCCTGTCCCACCTCCACCCACGGGGGCTACCCCACCACCCCCACCCCCGCTGCCAGCCGGAGGAGCCCAGGGGGCCAGCCATGACGAGAGCTCCATGTCAGGACTGGCTGCTGCCATAGCTGGGGCCAAGCTGAGAAGAGTCCAACGGGTAAGAGTTCCTGTGCACGGGGAGGAATGGGACGGGGGGACCCTGACGCCATCTGCAGAGCACTTGTGTTCCTTCCCCCATCTTCGAGACACTGAGCAAACTGCTTCCCAACCCAAAGCTAGCTTGGCCACTTGTTCTCACACAAGAACACTCATGGGACAGCACTTTGAAATTATAAGGTGCTTTAGTTAGCCATTGAGCCTCACGTTGACCTTCATACATGGGGCAAGAATATGTCCCCTTTGTAGATGAGGAAATTGAAGCATGAAGAGCTCGAGTAATTTGCTCAAGTCACACCATTTATAAGTTTTAGATTTTGGACTCAAGCCTGGGTCTCCTGAATCTAAGTCCATTGCCCTTTCCACTGTAGGAAGCTGTATTGTGGAAACAGGTCCACCCGGCTGTTAACTTCCCTAACCCCGGCTCATATGTTCTGGAACTGTGCTTGTAAGAATAGCTCTGATACAGACCTTTGGCTTACATTTTGTTTCCTTCCCACAGAATAGTCTCTTCTCCCCTCCTTCCCCCCATGTGTGGTGTCTGGTCTTGGCAAAGACACCGACCATCAGCCTGCAGGCCTGGGGAGTGTCTGCGACCTGCATGACCTGGGCTGGTCCTTGTCCTTCTCTCGATTTTGGTGTTCTCCCCATGGTGTTGGGGAATCATGGACTAGATGGCCCCTGAGGTGCCTTGCAGCACTGCCGTTGTAGGATTCACACGCACACGGTTTCCTGCATCCCCTCACGTAGGTGCTGCCTCCTGTTCTGCCATCAGCAGCAGAGTCTAAAATGTGGCCTCCTCTTCCCTCAGCCAGAAGATGCATCTGGAGGCTCTAGTCCCAGTGGGACCTCAAAGTCCGATGCCAACCGGGCAAGCAGCGGGGGTGGCGGAGGAGGCCTCATGGAGGAAATGAACAAACTGCTGGCCAAGAGGTGGGTCTCTGCACCTCCCGAGACTTGGTGTGCCTAGCAGGCAGCTCCTGGCCCCAGCACCGTATGGAGAATCCTTGTTTGACCCCAGAATCCTTCATTCCCTGGGTTTAGCCAAGCAGGGGGAACTGTTACTTACGTTTTCCCTTCCCAAGGGTTTAGTCTGAAGCAGCAAGCCCATGGGAGTCCTCTACACTCCAAAACCTTCATTTTAACTCAGCAAGTATTTTCTGAAGCGTCTACCATGTACCAGCCCTGTCCTGAGCAGAGATAAATTTGGAGATAATTTCAGAGATAAATGTGAGTGGAAAAACGTCCCTGCTCCTAAGATCCTAACAGAAATAAGATGTGGCCACAGTGCTTGGGTTTGCAGAGGACACTCTAGTGAATGTATGGCGAAGGTGTCCCGTCCTCCAGGGTTCATTATGGAGGGCTCGGGAAAAGGAGTTATGAAGGGCAGGAGCCCAGAAGGCATTGCTCTGAGCAACGGAGCGAGCACAGTTCCATCCGCATCCTGGCCTCTAGGGCCTAGGACCTCATCGTGTTTGTCTGCTTGCTGCAGCAGGTGTCACTGCAGCCTGCCATTGTTGCTCTCTGCTGTTCTTCAGCTGAAACCCAGGCAGGTAGGGAGATCATCCAGGTCTTTCTCAAAAGAGATGCAAAGCTTGGATTTTATTTTTAAATATGACTTGGCATCAGGAATGTGCTCACTTTGGACTACCAATGTCATGGCTCACTGAGGCACCAGAGGGCACAGGAGCAGGCCTCACCAGCCAGAATACGGAAAGCTGCGCCAGGGGCCCTGCTCCCTTGGTAACCCCGCCCCCACCCCCCCGCCGCTTTGTTGCCCTCTCCTGGCCCTCCCGGCTGCCTTCCAATTGGCTGACACAAGTGAGAACTCTGTGTATGCCCAGAGTTTTCACACTGCAGCCCTAGTTCCTCTCATAACCTTCCCATGGCTCCATGAGGATGAAGCAAGATGACAGAGGCCCACAGGTGCAGGCAGCTGGTGTGGTGCTTCATGGCAGGGGCACAGCCTGGATTTCCTGCCAAGGGCTTCTTTGTATGCATCACAGACGGCAGGCAAGGGAGGCTCCACATGTGTCAGAGAGCAGCAAGGTGGATCTGCAGCATGGGCTTCTCCCAAGCCTCCACTGGGCCTGGGCGTATGTAAATCGCCAAGACAGGAGGCAGGCTTCTGAGCAATTTCCTGTGATAGTAAGTCCAGGTGTGCAGGGCTGACAGTGGTCACACAGAGGCACATGGCTGCATGGATGAGAGAGCCGGGAGGGCTCGCCGAAGGATGAGGACTCCTGTGCAGCAAGAGGGACAGTGGGCAGAGTTAAGGTACCTAGGAAGGCTGGTGAGCTGGGTGTGGAGGAAATGGACCAGGAGTCAGGCTGGGAGAGGGAGCCTCATGGTGCAGGGCATCGGGTTCCATCTCAGAGGCGAGGATAGGCTGCAGAGAGTAGAAGTCATTTTGGAAAAGAAAATATCAGTGCTTTCCCTAAGTCCTAGACCAGGCTGAGGGAAAGCACCTTTCTGAGAACAGGAAAAGGCTGATATTGCCCAGAGCCAGTGAGATGCCAGATGCTGGTGGGAGGGTCCAGGCCCTCCCAAGAACATGCTTTGCATAGCTCAGCAGAGATCAATCAGATTGCCCTTTGAAATCCACTTTAGTGATGGCTACTGGGTGAAGCCGATGATGAGAGTGCCCTTGCCCTTGCAAAGTTTCTTTTAATGCAGGCTCTTGTCTCGTGCTCTGAGGTCATGCAGTTGAGTGTCTCTCGCAGCAGGGGAGGACAGGAGGGAAATGATATGGACGGAGAGCTCGTGTTCAGCAGCACTTTCTCCCACCTATACTCCACTCGAGTGGGTGGCTTGGTCAGCTTTCTGTTTCTAGGAGATGGGGTGCTGGCTGCTGGGGAGTAGATGGTGATGGTGAGTAGGCCAGTTACAAGACTCTGAGAGTCCAGGAAGAGATGATGGGGGCTTGCAGGAAGGTGTTGAAAGTGAAGACAGAATAAAGGTTCAGAGGTAGAACTGACCAGGCTGACTGTTAAAAGAAGCTGGTGGCAGGGATGATTCCCTGGTTACTGGGCTGAGGAACAAGGGGGGCAGACCTGTGCTGAGATGAGAGCTAAAGAAGGGGCCCCTGCTGCAGCTGAGGAGGCTGCCAGGTGGGCCCATCACAGACAGGTGACAGCCTGGCCACGGCCCCTCACCACACCTCAGACCAGCTCCATGCTTGACGGGCAGCTCATCTCAAGTTTAAGAGCCACAGAAACCTATCTCTGGGGAACACTGAGGGTCTGCCTGTGTAGACGTGGGAGGTCAGCAGATACCACTGAGGCCAAAAAAATACGGGTGAGGTTTTAGAATATATGAAACAGGGATTCATAGCAGGGGATGTGTGTGAACCAACTCAAGGACATCACATGAGCTATTTCAAGGCTCCTCTTAGCATTTCCAGGCCCTGAGTGGCATCCTAGATTCTAGATTGGAGAGGGCGTGGCTGGGTTAACTGAATCCAAGACAGGAGGGCCTTAGGGTGACATAGAAAGTGTCCAGTGTCCTGACCTGTGGGACAGACTGCAGCCCGGAGAGGCGCCTGTCTGTCCCGTGTGGCCAGGCCTTCAGTGTCCTGGGAACAGAGCACAACTGCCTCCTCCACCCCGTGGATGGTACAGCCGCTGCCAGTACAGCCAAACAGACACAGGGTCGTCTCACCCTCTCCGCCTAGGCCAGTTTCATATCCCAGGCCATGAGCACACAGAGGGCCTGGACACTCACCCGGGCCTGGCTCCTCACCAGACTGGGCCTGGACAAGCCTCCTCCTTCACGCCATCATTTTCCAGCACAGGTTTACCTGAAGACTGGGGTGAGTCTGGCAGGGAGGAGGCAGAAGAGTTCTGGGACAGTGGGAGAACCTGAGAGGCTGATCTGTATCTTCCCCTTGTCTATGCCTAGGAGAAAAGCAGCCTCCCAGTCAGACAAGCCAGCTGAGAAGAAGGAAGATGAAAGCCAAATGGTGAGGAAGCAGCCCTCAGCCCTCAGGCTTCCCACTGAGATCAGTGCATCAGCAGGGAGGCTCCCCGGTCACAGTCGAGGCCTTTGGGACGTGCATGGGATGGGTGGGATGGTCGCTTCATCAGGTGATTCACAGAAGGGTCTCTGCATCACTTGCCCCTGCGCCACCCTGGCCCCAGCAGCAGGCCTGCCCTCACTGAACACCCCCGACCAGACGCTGCTCACCCTTGGAGCTGCAGCCCAGCAGGGGAGAAGCCTGGGGCCCTGGCATCACACCGCCGGGCTACCTTGCCAGCCCAGGAACCCCGGGGAGCACAGACCAGCCAGGGCCTCATCAGGGGACTGGGACTCCAAGATTACACTGCAGTAGGGCCTATCTGCTAGAAGCTCAGAGAGGTGTTTATTTTCAGATTATTTCTGTTTCTAAAGACCCCTCTTCCAGCAGGAGCTTCAGGTGAGCTGTGGTAAAGAAGCCCTGGACTCCTGGCTCTTGTCCTTAGCAAGCCACCAGAGCCAGCCTAGCTGCCAGAGCTCCCAGCAGCTGCTTCCACTTAGGGCAGCGAATTCTCTTTTTCTCTCTGTTAAGCTTTTCCTATAAAAAGATTCCTACTGACAAGGCTAACTTTAGCCTTAGCTACAAATGGCATAAAGTACAGAATGATAGAGGAAATGCAACTGCCAGGGACCGGAGCAGGCTTCCTGCCCTTTCTTCCCATCAGTCAGGGCCATGCTGGCGTGACCTCAGGGCTCTATCCTTCCTGGCTCATCCGTGCCTCTCAGCCCCGTCCTGCACTCCTGCACTCAGGCCCTGGGCGCATATGGGTCCCTTTGCCTGACCCACCAGCACCCACTCAGCCTGCATTTCTCTACATAAGCCTTACTCCTTAAAAAACAGCCTCCCTCCGCCTCCCCCCCAAAAAAAAAAGTTAAAAAAGGCTGGGCACAGTGACTCACGCCTGTAATCCCAGCACTTTGGGAGGCTGAGGCGGATGGATTACCTGAGGTCAGGAGTTCAAGACCAGTCTGACCAACATGGTGAAACCCTGTCTCAAAAAAAAAAAAGAAGTAAAAAAAGCCTCCCAGCCTGGCACAGTGATTCACACCTGTACTCCCAGAACTTTGGGAGGCCAAGGCAGGCGGATCACGAGGTCGGGAGATCGAGACCATCTTGGCCAACATGGTGAAACCCCATCTCTACTAAAAATACAAATATTAGCTGGGTGTGGTGGTGTTTGCCTGTAGTCCCAGCTACTCGGGAGGCTGAGGCAGGAGAATCACTTGAACCTGGGAGGCGGAGGCTGCAGTAAGCCAAGATTGCGCCACTGCACTCCAGCCTGGTGACAGAGCAAGACTCTGTCCAAAAAAAAAAAAAGAGAAAATAAATCTGATATTTTACTGACTCTAATGTCACCCTGTATAGCTTTCATCTGGGCCCCCACACGTGTGTGTTGATTGACATAATCTGTTCTCCAAATATCTTTAAAATGAGGAGGCCTGAGGACCTTAGCCCAACACCTACAGCCTGGTACCTGCTTTTGCCCTCGACCAGAGCCTCCCAGGACTTATGCACCCCACAGATAACGCAGGGCATTCCTGATAGGTGCTACGCCTCTTCTTGTGTGGGGACGTAGTGAGCAGAGGAGACAAAGCAAAGACCTCTGCCCACGGTGACAAGGGCAGAGGCTGTTTGCTTGGGATCAGAGTTACACGTCAGGTTGGGTGGCTGCCCATCAGCAGCTCAAATGCTGTGCATTCTGCTTCATCAAATAAGAGGATTACCCTTACTACTTCACAAGTGGCATGTTCTTGATGCTGAAAATCATCCTGACGCACATGCCATGCACAGCGAGTGTTGGGTGTTCCCACTGTTGGATGAACACATCCACTATTCGAGCGTTGCCACAGACCTGTTACAGGGGCAGCTATGTGTGTGCCGCATGGGGGAGTAGGTCCCTCCTCGGGGTGCTTGCAAGAAGTCAGCAAGATGACACACAGGAGGCATCTGGCCCATGGGGCTCGGGGCTTGGAGTATTGAGGGCCAGAAAGGAGTTCCGCACTCCTCTGCAAAGATCCTGGAGCTCCCTGCAGGCTTCCCCTTCCCCAGCTTTGTCCACAGGCTGGATTCACTCCCCACTGAGATTTTGGGTTTTCAGTTTTAAATATTTAATGTTTTGCTAATTATAAAAGTATGTGTTCACTGGGAACATGTGGAAAACTGAGGTTTTATAGAGTGCCCAGTGGTGTCCTGCCCTGGCCCCAAGCAGCCTTCCTAAACAGACTCCCTTCTTCTCCATTTTAGGAAGATCCTAGTACCTCCCCCTCTCCAGGGACCCGAGCAGCCAGCCAGCCACCTAACTCCTCAGGTGAGAGGGCGCCCCCCCCCGACTTCATGTATGAAGCAAACAGGGCAAGGGGGCATGTGAGGCATGAGGTCTCAGAGTTGGGGGAGCACCCTTCAAAGAGGACTCTCTGATCCAGGCTCTTCAGTATGCCTGAGCAGAGGGCCAGGCCACAGGGAAGCCCAGTTCTTATGAGTCCCCCAGAGCGTCCCCCAGGAGCCCATGTGGGAGCATAGGAAGTGCTAGAGCAGAGTCACCGTGATGGGTCCCCAGGGTGGCCTGCGCGGCACCTTGCTTCCCACCAGGACCCTGAGTCCCGCATGAGGGAAGGCACTTGCCTGACGGCACATAGCCAGGGTGGGGGTTTGTGTCTAGGGCTCCTGAGTGCAGGCAGGGGCCAGTGGTCTTAAGAGGCTCAGTGTCAGGACTCGTGTCTCCAGTGAAACACCAGCTGGTGACCAGCGTTACAGAGATGGCAGTGGATCTTGCTCCACCGAAACGCAGCCCCTTCCCTGGCTCAGGTTTCTCCCTGTCTGAGCTGTGGCAGGTGGGAAGGAGGAAGGAGAGAATGATGAGGTGACAAGGGCAGAATTTCTCTACATAAGCCTTAAGAGGAAGTGGGAGGAAGACCCCAGGGTTGGTTGTTCATTCGACAGACATTGGGGCAACACCTGCTCTGTGCCAGGCCTGTGCTCATGAGCATGGCGGGGAGAGGCAGGAGCGTCAGGCTGCCCAAGCTGGGCAGGGGAGGCGCTTGCCAGCTGTTCATGTGTCTCTCTGGGGCATGCTCAGGTTGAGTGTCACCTCCCTCTGAGACTGTACGCCATGTCCTCTCCTCCTAGGACTTTGCCTGGCATGTCGATTTGCCAGGATACATAGGTTCTTGGCTGATGAACATGAACAATGTCCCTGCCCCGTTTGCTTCTTACAGCAGTCCAGTGAGTGGGCTATGTGTTTCCATCTGTGCGACAAGTGGTTTGCTCAAGGCCACACACCTGGGACGTGTCCGTGGCCCCAGGTCTAGTGCCTGCAGGCCCAGCACCTGTCCCAGAAGGTGGCTTTGAGGAAAACTACCTCAGTCCCACAGTTTGTCTGCAGGGTACCACAGCTCAGCTCGAGGCCAGGCAGCTTCCCCACTACCCCTAGAGATTTTGTGTTCTGCCTCTGTTCATCCTGCAAAGTCAGCAAATTCAACTTAATGCAACAAATCTTTTGGAGTAGAATGAAATATAATCCAATACCACTTACCTTGAAAAAGAAAACACAAGCCAGCTGAATGGGACAGAGCCAGGCACAGCATGGGGGCCAGCTAAGGAGCCCGTCAACAGCAGGTGCTGGGCCTCGGGGCCTGGCCACTGCACAGCTCATGGGAGCAAGGCTGCGTTGGGAGTGTCCTGGGAGGTCCTGCCTGCTTGCCCTGCGGCTCTGTTCGATGGGTCGTTTACCAGGCAGGCCCACGTTCCAAAGAGACCTGACCACAGTGAAAGGACTCAGAACGAGGTCACAGGTCAGGGTCAACCAGGTCAAGGGAACAGGAGCTTGAGTCCTGGAGTAGGGGAGACACAGAGTGACAGTGGTGCCATCTAAAGCCCTCAAGGGGCTGGTCTAGGCCATGGGGGACTGAGAACAAGAAGCCAGGTTTTGGCTCGGCTCAAATCAGACCTTCCTGCCATGGGGCTCTGCACCCTTGGCATTGGGGAGAGCTTCCTTTTGGGCATTGAGGGGATTGGGGTGGCTACTGAGTCCTCTCTGCTCTGAGGTTCTTCATCCATGAACTGAATTGACAGAGTCTGGCCGGAAACCCTGGGAGCGGAGCAACTCGGTGGAGAAGCCTGTATCCTCGATTCTGTCCAGGTGAGCGGCCCGGAAAACCTGAGCAGTGAGGCTGGGGGTGGCAGAGGCGGGTGCTGGCGCCGATTCACATGTCTGTTTCATTCCATGCCGTAGAACCCCGTCTGTGGCAAAGAGCCCCGAAGCTAAGAGCCCCCTTCAGTTGCAGCCTCACTCTAGGTACCAAACAACCCTCCTGCTCACGTGTTCTCCAGGGTTGGGGCTCCTCTGTCCCCTGTCCTGTGACTAACACCTTGCACCCTGTCTCATGTCTTGGCGTTTAACAGCTTGCTCTGGGAAGGTGATCTGTTCTTTCAGACCCAGGACCTCGGGGTCCTGTCAGTCAGCTCCTCCTCCTCCCTCTGAGGGAGAGACCGAGGCCTGGGGAGGGCAGTGACCTGTCTGCAGATCCAGTGCAGGGGGCTGACTTGGAGTCCCAGCTCTGGACTCACTACTTGTGACAGTGAGCACGTTAGGGGACCTCTCCAAGCCTGTTTCCCCACACACACACAAAACAGGGTCTGTGAATCCCTGCTGCACAGCACAGTAGTGGGGACAGCCGTACAAACAACAGCTGGACGTGGCCGCACTCAACAGCTCAGCTAGTCCTAGGACTGGCCCTGAGCCCCACACCCTCTCGTCTAGCCCAGAGTCCTTCCTCTGCGTCCAGCACAGAGCCAGTTTCCCCCAGACATGATGACTACATTTCCCAAACCAAAAGCTGGCGTGACAACACGATAGAATATTTGGAACTGAGGTTGCCCAAAAAGGCGCAGGCAGCCACGTCGTATCTGGAGGCCCACGTGGCCTGAATATGAATCCCTCTAGAACCTGCATCAACAAATGTCTCCATTGCCACCAGAAATTGAAGGGAAACCACCCTTGTCACAGAGCAGGAGGCATTGAAACTGGCCTTGCAGAGCAAAACAGGTGATGAGCCGAGCAAGCCTTGGCCTGTCCCTTGGCAGGAATGGCCAAGAACAGGGCAGGGGGACAGAGATGAGGAAGGCTTAGCGGTCAGCTGGGGTTTGTCAAAGGCTTGTGGCCAGCCAGGCCATGTGCTGGGGACAGTCCCTGCCTGCAAAGGTCACATGTGAACAAGGCCCCTGTGGTCCTGCGGGGTGCTTCAGCAAGGGCGGGGGCCACACGGTGGAAGGGACAGGGTGCTTTGTGGAGTGGGGCAGGGCAGGCCTCTGTTGGGAGCTGGCATTTCATTGACCTGGACGAGGAGGAGCCTGCTGTGCGGAGATCATGGGGACAGCCTTCCAAGCTGAAGGAAGGGTAAGTGCCAGGGCCCTGAGCCTGCAGCCACCTCGCACCGCACCTCGGAGCAGACAGCAGGCCATGGGGCATGGGAATGGGAAGGGTGAGGAAGAGGGCGTGAGGGAGCGCGGAGTTAGAAGTTTGCATTGGATTCATGTGCAGGGCTCCAGTCAGGGAGCTTGAGGCACAGAATGCCATGATGGGGGCTGGGAAGGGGAAGGCAACCAGAGTGGGCGAAGCGAGGGCCCTGGAGCAGACACAGCAGCTGGGGAGCCTGCCGTGCTCCTGGTCATGATCTGCTGATGGAGTGAAGGCGGGCTGCAGTGTTCTGAGGGGCCAAGGGTCGCTCACTGGGCAGGAGCATTGTCAAGGCCATTCATGCTTGGAATAGGGTCTGTCTTCAGCTCTGAGACAAATCTGTTTTCTAATTTCTAGATGGCTCCAAAGGGAGCATACACCACCACCACCACCCCTCTAGTGCGTCCCATTGCTTAGGAAGCCTGCTGTGTGTATCACTGGGTGGCTGTTAGGGGTGCAGATGGAGAGGGCCCAGGCCTGGCGAGGTGGAGCAGTCAGCCCAGTTTTCCCAGCAGTTTTATCTGGAACCCACAGGAGAGGCCTGAAGGACCCAGGGGCCTCTGGCTGGATGTGTTTGCCTATCAGGACCCAGAATTACTGACAGACCTGTTTAGGGCTAGGCTTGCCCTCTTTCTTGAGCTCATGCGGAGGGGTGTGAGAACACTTTATTCTTCATCCTTATTCTCCCTATCTGTGGGCAACACTGGTCCTCAGTGTCACCAGATGGTCCTCATTTGTGCCCATGACCCCTCAGCAGTCAAGGCTGGCCCTGCCAGAAAAATGTGTATGTGCCCATGGTCATAGCCACAGGCTGAGGCCACATATACTTCACGCCTCCATCCTCTCCATGTGGGAGGGAACTTGGGTCCTAGCAGTGTGTCCTTCAGCACCAAATTATGTTTAAAAGACCAGGTAGATGGGCATTTTGCCAAGATCTTCCAGGGAAAATGCACGTATGAGATTTTTTTTTTTAAACTTTTTTTTTTTTTTTTTTTGAGACAGAGTCTTGCTCTTGCCCAGGCTGGAGTGCAATGGCATGATGTCGGCTCACTGCATCCTATTCCTCCCGAGTTCAAGCCATTCTCCTGCCTCAGCCTCCCAAGTAGCTGGGACTACAGGCGTGTGCCACCATGCCCAGCTAATTTTTTGTATTTTTAGTAGAGATGAAGTTTCACCATGTTGGTCAGGATAGTCTCGATCTCCTGAGAGACATTACCATTCAAATCAGGACAGCGTGGCACTCATGCCTGTCATGCCAGCACTTCGGGAGGCCGAGATGGGAGGATCACTTGAGCCCAGGACTTCGAGACCAGCCTGGGCAACACAGTGAGATACCATCTCTACAAAAAGTTTAAAAAAAAAAATAGAGACTGGGCTCGGTGGCTCATGCCTGTAATCCCAGCACTTTGGGAGGCCAAGGCGGGCAGATCACGAGGTCAGGAGATCGAGACCATCCTGGCCAACATGGTGAAACCCTGTCTCTACTAAAACTACAAAATTA